TTTTTTTTTTAAAAAAAAAAAAACTATTTTTACCTTAAGTTTGTCTAAGCTATTACTTAATTACTAGAATTTGGTGCATTAGTAATGGATTAGTATTGGTGCTATAATTACAGTATTAGTAACATAATTTTGCAATAGATTTAATTTAGTTTTATTATGAAAGCACATTTCGTTTGTTTATCTGGCTAGGTTTATTCGAATGGAAATAATAATTAATTGTTTAAATTAAATTACATAATAATTGAGGTACTATTTTATATTTTTTTAATTTTAAAAAAGAGTAAAATATCAATTTAAATATCAATTTCAAATTTATGGTCAAAGGTAGATTTTTTTGGATAACATAAAATAATAATTTTAGTGAATTATTAAACACCGCTTCCCCTTTTACTACCTACACCCCTCTCCCTCGGGACCGTTTTGCCGCTACATTTTTTTAAAAAAAAATAAAACAAAAAAAAAATATGGCCGGCCGGTAATGGTCGGCCGGATTATATCATTTTTTTACAAACAAAATTTTTATTTACTATAGAAATTATTTTAAGTTTAAAAATTATTATGTTATAAGTTAGAATTTACTATTATGTTATAACTTAAAAACTATTATGTTAGAATTTACTAGGGGTGGGCGGCATTTGCAGGGCTGGGGCTGGGTTTCGGTGGGGTGGTCGTTGGCGTTCATTGGGTGGGGGTTGCGTTATGGTGGCGCGGTTGTGGGCGATTGTCGAGTTGCTTTGCTCTGTTCATGGTTCGGAGTGGTCGGCAATGGCTGGGCTAAGCTTGTTTGTTTTGGCTGGGTGCATTTTCCTTGTGTGGCAGGGGGATTGTTCGCCTGGACGAGGGTTGGGCCAACCCGTGTGTTTCGAGTCAGTTAGGCGTTCTATCGCAGTTTCTGGGTTGGGATCTTGGGCTCGACTCTGCCATTGTTGTGCTCGTTGTGGTTTCCGCTGTGGGAAGGGATCTCATTGTTGGTTTTTTTGTCTAGGTTCATTTTTGGTTTGTATGTATTGTTTGTGGGTGTAGGTCCGGTTTGTGTCTCTGGTTTTGTGTTTTTGGTCTGGGCCGTTGGCCTCTATGAGCCCGTGTGTCAAATAGTACCCGAGTGTCTCTATATTATCCTGTTGGGTTCTGACACTTGGGTATTACCCTGTTGGGGTCCGACACTCGGGTATTACCCTGTTGGGGCCTTGTAGTTGTTTGTGTTGTTGGTTAGTTTAGTCGCGTGTGTTTTTATTCTAGCTTTGCTAGTCGGAATTTTAGGCGGTCTTCTGACTTGTCCTCCCTGGTTTTTTCAGCTGTTGGGTGCTGTAATTTCAACCGTTGGCTGCTGTGTATTCGCACTTTTGTGCTTTTTATTTTATAATATTTATATCGTTGGAAAAAAAAAAGAATTTATTATCTAGTAGAACTATTTTCCACAATAATATTTCTAATTTTATTAAAACACACACTAGACACACAAAAAAAAATTGTATAATTTTAATAATTAATTTATTTGTATAATTATATAATCAAAAAGTGGAATTATATGAAATTATTATATTTTTCTAATATAAAAAATAATTTTACTAGATAATCAAAACTACTTTATAACATAATAATTTTTAAGTTCTAACATAATAATAATAAATTCTAATTTATAAGATAATCAATTTTAATTCATAACATAATAATTTCTAATTTCTAACATAATAATAATAAACTCTAATTTATAACATATTAAATTCTAACATAATTTCTAAAATAAATAAAAAATTTATAAGTGATAATAAAAAATGGTCGGCCGACAATTGCGGTCGTGCACTGTGCAGCCGGTCAGCAATTGCAGTCGTGCACAATACGGCCGGTTTCGCCCATCGACCGCGCCAAAGTTTTTTTTTTTTTT